CAACACATGTGACACTTCGGATTGGGAGATTCCAGTATCCGTATGTCCGCCCCCGTCTTTCATGTCGATGTCTATGATACTCATGTAATCTTGGCGCGTACTTATCACTACTGTGGTGGACCGTGATCCAGTGAGTCTGCCCAGGTATAAGCTGCTCAACACGCTCCACTCTCTCTCCACACCCAAGGAGTATCTGGCGGAGAAGCTTCGACACCCGTCTGACGAGGACTTCATCGTGAATGGACGCCTGTTGGGCGGTACCCCAATCACTCGTACGTAGAATGGTGCATTCAACGACTATCGCGTCTACTGTTATTCAATACTTTCACTCTAGCATTAGGGGACTATCACTACACGCTTTCTGCACGTTACGTGCAACGTATCTTCCGGCATTTGGCATGTCCTTCGGAGAACTTTGACTGCTCGGGGAAACGCAACAAGACCCCTCCCTACATAAGGAACGATCCGGAGATCGGGGATTTAGACCTTGCCAAGTTTAAGCCGCTGAAGCTTGTTCTGTTCTCTGACGGTGTCGATGATATTGTGCAGAGCCTCCACTGTCCTTCGACCAGACTTCGGAGAACGAAGCCCGACCAGATCATGGCACAGCTTGTGTTTCCAAATAGCGCGCCCTACGCTGGAAAAGAGCTTGGACACGCTATTCAACCGGGTTGGGTCGGTCCGGGTGGGAACCGCGCCACGGACGTGCTCGTGAATCTACTTGGTGATACTGATGTACAACGTCTTAGTAGAGTGCTTGAACAGTCCGTACTACACTCGATGAAAGCCCCGGACTGGGACCCCGACCGGCACATATACATAGATGATACCACGATTGTGGTGTGCGAATTCAATTGAGTATGTATAGCCGTATGCACTCCCATGTAAATACCTGCTTTGTCGACTGCCTGCACTCGCTTAGGGCCGACACTTGTACTCTAAACTCTGTCCCTATGGATCTTCCGTGTAATACTTTATTTAAGGATGCTGTTGGCATCTACACCCACGTTCTATGAGCTTCGCTGGGCTATCCGGTCTCCGTAGAGTGAGGAAGCACCGCTTGGATTCGAACACCGATCAACGCGTTTGTTTGCGGCGGGCAGAAGGCGACCGCGGCACCACTCAAGTTTTTGCCTTTGACCACCACCTTGTCCCACCTGGTTCATCTCTTTAGCGATGGCCGAAGCAGTTTTTGCATCTCAGGCGATGTTGCATCTCTCAAGGCGATGGAAGTCGACGTTCAAGCGCAAGTACCTATTGAAGGTGCCCCGGTTGCCGCTCCTCCCGAAGCGGCCCAGCCAGAAGTGCCAGCCGTACCAGAGTTTGTCTCGGAGACCCTGTACATTCAAACTTTGAACGAGAATATCCGTATTTCTGGTATGTATTCGTCATTGTGTCCATTAGAGCATGTGCTTACGAATATCACCTAGTACTCAAACAGTCGCTACGCGCCCTTTTCAAGTCGTATGGAGAAGTACTCGACATCGTCGCGCACGGAAATCCCCGCATGCGCGGTCAAGCTTTCGTGTCGTTCGCGTCTTCAGA